CGGGGTAATAGTGCTTCCTGTAGTCACCACATCTGGTCACCACAGTGCCTCCCTTTGCTCTTCCAGCCCTCCAACACTGGACTAGCCATTCCCTGCACACACAGCCTATATGGAGTGCCTTGTGTGGGCTCATTTTCCTGGATGGGTCCAGACTGACACAGAAATCCTTCTGTTTTAGGGGTGGGAAGAGGAAAAGAAAGCTGAAAAGGAGCCAGAGAGGCAAGAGGCAAAGTAAGTGTGTCTCGAAACTGAAGGGAAGAGGCGCCTGAGTGGTTCAGGTGGTGATCTCACGGTTGGTGTGTTCGGGGCTCTGAACTGACAGTGTGGAGCCCACTTCAGATTCTCTGTCTCCCTCTTTCTGATACTCCCCCTCTCATGTGCACTCTCTTTCTCTCAAAAATAAATACACATTAAAAAAAAGGAATGTAAGGGAAAAAATGTTTGGGAATGGTGAGCAGGAGTCACTGACCCTGAGAGAGGAGGAAGCATGAGAAGAGGCTGATGATTAGAGGAGAGGAAGAATGGCCAGACCTTCCAGAAGCAGCCCCTGGGGATGGCGGGGGTAGGAACAAGCTAGAGAAAGACTCGGCCTCCTCTTGGGAGACTGTGAAGAGCAGGCAGCTTGAGGGAAGTGTCTGATGTGGTGCCACAAAATCCATGTGGGTGTTTGGCTTACTGGGCATTGGGCAATGGCCCCTTGTCCGGTAACACCCTTATGGATAGGCAAACACAGGCAGATTGCCAATGGCCACCTCTCAGCCCCTGCAGAGGACTAACCATAGTATGGCAGCCAGGAACACCCTGCAAGAGGGGTGTTTTCAAAGTCTTCATGACTTATTAATTCAGCAAATGTTTATTCAGCACCTCTTATGTGCCAAGTGCTACTCTAGGTGCTAAGGATATAGTAGTGAGTTATTTCTTTTTAATGTTTATCTTATTTCTGAGAGAAAGAGAAAGCGAGCAGGTGTGGGGGAGGGGCAGAGAGGGGGCTGGGGGGCAGGGGGAGGGGAGAGAGAATCCCAAGCAGGCTCTGCACTGTCAGTGCAG